TTCAAATTTTCGCGAATTTCTGAAAAATAAAAATTCATTGGAACCTTTAAATATGATTTTTAGAATTAGGTCACCTAAGGGTATCTTCGGGCAAAATATGAGCGATCTGTCAAATAGGACGTTGACCGGCGTTTCTCGATCCTAACAGTCAGCCATTCTTAAAAGGAAACTCAAGCATCCAAATGCAACTTTCTATATTTCTCACCAGGGCATGATGTGAGTTTACAACTCTTCGCCTGAGTGGAGTCCCCAGTGCAGTTCTGTCCTCCGTTAGCAGGAGTCGGGTTATTGCAGGCTCTGCTTCTAGACCGGGAACCCGTCCCACACGTCTTACTACATGTTGTCCAAGCAGACCACAAACCGAAACCGCCATCAACTGAGTGAAACAAAGACCACAATCAGGATCAACACACTATTCATTAACTTGGATTAGGCGCAACAGGCGTTAATGTACAAGAATCTAAAACAGTTTGTTGTCAATGACTGTCATACCTGGACAAGGTGTGAAGCAAGATCTCGCCGTCTCTGTGTCGTTACCAACACAGTTTTTCCCGCCATTCATTGGGGGTGGTTGATTGCACAATCTTGTTCTCTTCAAAATGGTTCCTCCTGATATTCCACATGTTTGGGCACACTGGGTCCACGGAGTCCAAGAACTCCATTCACCGTCAACAGGTCCAGCTAAAAGACAAAATAAGCTGATATATCCTGATAGCCTCACCTTTCCTAAACCTTGCACTATCACTTATGGTTTGAATCCTTTTACTTATACAGCGGCTAGGTTCTGGAATGCTTTACCCAACAGATTAAGAACTATTTCTTGTCTCAATGACTTTATTAGAGCAATTCGACAACATGAATTAATTTTCTAGTTGTGATTTCTTCTAAGTTAATATTTTATTCAATATACATAGTGTTACTTTATTTTGATTTTAATTTTCTCGGAGGTACTAGCTTATTTTTGGCTACTCAGAATCTGAGATAAAATATAGTTTTATGTATGTATGCTGGCAACGCGGTGACACAAGAGCACAATTGCTCATTGTTAGTCGTTTTTCCTTAAATTAGTCATTAGTTAAAATGTGCAGTGATGTACTGCTGGTCGCTGGTTGATCCAGCAGTAATTAGGACACGAGAGGAATAAGGTTGTTTGCATGCTAAGAAATGAATCTTAGCATAATTTTTGATTGAAGGAAAAAAACGTCGGTCTTCCACGAGCCGACAAGTTGATTACTTCAATTTATGTCTTGATTCTAGGAATACATACAAGTTCAATAGTACCAGCTGTTCGTTTAGCGGGGTTTTCAGTCAAAACTATCGAATGAGGAAATATTTTTCAGGAGTGTCAAAATTAAAGTTGATGATAAAAGCAAGCAGTAAAATCGGTCAGCGAAATGTCGTCTCGTAAATGGACCAAAGTAAAATTAAAAAGTTCAAGACGTCCGTGATTACGTATACCGAAAAACGTATGGTTTGTGAATCATTGCACTGAAAGGTTTCTTTATGAAGGAAAGGCATCTTTCTGAACGAGTGAAATTACACCGGGCGAGTACATTTTGAGAGTCACTCGCCCGAATGGCGAGCGCTGTCAAAATTTAGTTTGTAACACTGTTAGCCGTTGTTGGCTTTAATGACGGACAAAACAAAGTTAAAGAACCAGGCCATGCTTTGCCCATTTTTTATCAACCAATGAAAAGCCATGGCGCGAAGTGGAAATTATTGCAACTTCCTGGAAAAAATTGAGATCTTTAGTCTCAGCATTGTTCGAGAAAAATCGAGTTTTTGTATTCATGTACGCATTGTGGGCTTATGCTTCGTTTGTTTGTTTTCAGTTAACAGAACAGGTGTTACATACTTTTATTGTCCAAGACACTATATCATACGGTTTGAATTAATCTTAGAACACAAACTTGCATTTATGACCAAAACTTCAGCTTTTCCAATTTATCCCGAAAACAGGCACACGACGGAAAAAACTGACGACTTTCTCTCCGTGCTCCCCCCTGCTCCCCACCCCAACCCCGACCCGTTTTCCTATCACGCGGAAAAGAAAACAGAGTATAAAATGTGCATCCTAAATCCCCTCTATTTAATCAATTGCCATTTCAGTATTGTTACGTTTCGCAGAAATACGTGGCATTATTTTATTTTTCAAATGGTCCACTTTTTTATTTTATTTTTACGATAGTCTATTTATGAAATGTTCACTTTGTTATTTCTTTACTATTTTTGTTACTATACATCTGCTTCGACTTACTTGGGCACGGCCAAATACATTCCAACTTGGTTTCAAGTGTGTCTCCGGAACATGGTTTCCCGTCCGGGCTGGGAGTAGGGTTAGTGCAAGCTCTGGTCCTGTTGACTATGGATCCCCCGCACGGGTTCTCACAGAGAGACCACTGACTCCATTCTGTGAAACCGCCGTCAACTGCGATGGCATTTCATTGAAGCAAGATTGTGGAACGAGAAAAATTAGAACTAAATTTGTGATTTTTGTAGCTCTTACTATTTTCAGTGCAAATTTAGATGCAAATGTAAACGTTTGCTAAGGGAAGTGGTTTCCTGAATTGAAATTAGTCTGTTCTAAGATCCTACAGTAAAAAAACCCGGAATCTAACGAAACATCACTTTCTCGTTATTTTTTAATCAGCGGAGCCCGCCATTTGGGAAAGATGTTGGTTGGCAACATGGCGCAAGATGGTTGCCACGCTAACGAGACAATACTCGGAGAACACGCATGACGTCGGGAAATTGTTTGATTGGGTGATAAGGATCAGAAGCTCTTCGAAAGCTTTAACTAGACCTGCCGATGAAAAATTATTTCTCGACTGAATAGCAAGTTTTATTAAACAGTGCGGCGTGACTCAGATACTTGACAATGCGGTCAGCTTACATAGTCACTGTTAAATATATATTAACAATACAATTGAACAGCAACTAATTGTACTTACTCATGCAGTCCTTTTGTTCCGAGCTGTCTCCTTCATCGCAGTACTTTCCATCTTCACTTGGTATGGGATTGGTGCAAGTTCTTGTTCGAATACGCTGGTTTCCCGCGCAAATGCCGGCTGCACAGCCACTCCACGCTGACCAGCCCGACCAACCACCGTTCACTTTCGCGAAAAAAAGGAAAACAAATCATCAAAGCGGCAAATCAGCTCCTTAAACCTTACAAAAAGCAATGGGTATTTTTAAATTGAAGGGTTTCTATAACGATTTGAAAACTTTTGAATCGTTTTTATTCAAGATCTGTAAGGTGAAACTAAGATAATTTATCAACGATTAGAGTCAGTGTTACGGTATATAAATACAAGAAATAAAACCTAAAAATGCGTGACTTAAAATACCGCCTATGAGCCAAGTTTAAAAAGCCTTTCTCTCACCAAATTGTGTGGAGGAGTATCCTGCTTAGAGAAGGCCGTCGCTTTTATAGCTGAAATTAAAGCAGCGAGATTCCAACGCGAATTATATACGAAACTGGAAAGAAACGTGAAAACTCTGAATTATGTCTACAACAATAGAATAACCGAGTCTGAAAAATGAAGTTAGACACAGAGTGTCACCGCTTTTCATAAAATTTCAAACTACCTAATGCTTTCTAAACAAAACGGACATTTTCAGCTATTTCTCGTCACATTTTTTTAGTTCGCTAGTAAATCATTTCGGCTTTACTTAAAGATAGCTCAGTCTCGGCATTTTGAGTTATTTTGACCACATACAAAAATACCTTCAAATTGAAGGAAACCTGAAAATACTAGTTTACTAAGATAGATAGTTAATAATAACCACTAAGGAACAAGGATGGTTAAAGATAAAGAAGATTAACGCGGATTAAAAACGACGAACTTGTAAAATTTAGGCTAAAGTTTTCAAGAAGCGGAAACTCCCTTAAGATTTCTATCACCTTCTTTTCATTGTGAAAATAAGATTTATTATTAAAAGTCACTCTCACCTGCGGCATCCACATAATTCCAAAATATGACTAGTGACAGAAACCGAAATAAGCAAGTAATAACGTTTGACATATTGATAGATAATATGTAGAGCTCTATTCTAAACTATACAGAGCTAAAGCATCGCTCTGGTGGTGGACCAGATTGACAATCGTCTTTTCAGTCTCCCTGGAAGCCGAGTGATTTGTTAAAACTGCTTTAGGTTTAGGTCGTTTCACAAAACCTGTAAATGCTTACTTTATGAACACCTGAATTGATTCATTATAATTATTGACGCAGATGGGTCAACAAATATTGCTGTAGCTTAAACTAGTTGGGTAATAGTCTATTTACTCCTACTAATTAGAATTATTACAGAAGAGCAAAATCTGTTCATTCGGAGATTTCGCCATCGATAATACGTTAGGGGTGTAAGCCTCTTAATTAAGAAAATTCCACCGTCCAATAATTTAATTGTTGTTTTGAACCATGCCTCAACGAAGAGAAATAAAAAAGTTAAGCATTATAATTAATATTCTCTGACTGACACTACGTTAGAATCTATTCATCTATTTTAAATCGCAGGCTTTTACAGATAAACGCCTGGAGAGACCATTTACACGTCACCTACCGATCGCCATACGGTGCATAGATAAAGTTGTAGTCGTTTAGGGCGTATCTTACTTGCTTTACAGAATTAATTGAAATCGGTTTTAATACTAATAACTTTATATTCCAGTGTCAGGTAAAGTAGCAGGGTCTCACGAAGGTAACAATCACGTAAAATTATAAATCTTAAATATAATTTATTTAGTATAATTTTCCATATTTGCAACTAAAATTCGCTTAGAACTGTAATAGAAATAAAAATCAGCCTCCAATACACCATTTGTGCATGAAAATCACAGGTGCAGAAAGAGTAAATACTCTAGATTAATTTCAGTTCTATATTTACTTTTCCTGCCCAGTGAATGTCTTTGTTATAAATTTTCCTCGGATGTCGAAAAACGTTTCGTCGCTGCAAACTTCCGAGACACTGTATTTTTTGTCCCGGAATTTGGACAACAACCGTCATCAACTCATAGTAGGTTAAGCTTCGTGTTTTTTTATGTCTACTTTTAATTCCGCTTTACAAAGGTATGGACACTTCATTGTTTGTGGCTGGTGTATAAGCTTGACATCAAGGAATGGGCAATAAACCCACATGTGTAATTAGCTAGGTAAACCAAGAGTGGAACTATCCAGGTGATCAAATAAAGTTGTAAATTAATCATCCGTTGTATCGCTATCTTTGTGTGATTCTCAGAGGAGTGCAAAATCTTAATGTTGACCAATCAGAATGGCCGCGGATATTGCTCGACAGGGAGTACTGAAAACCGGTTTTAGTAAACTGCAGAAAAAGGGTTTTCAGAAAAAGAAGTTTGTCTCCTTTCACCACACCAGTTTAAATTATTTTCAAATTTTATCAAGAAAAGAAAACCTTAGGTAAATAGTTCAAACATTTGTTGCCTCTACTTCCTCTCTTCTGAAGACAATTGATTGCACGGAGTTGGAGCGAAAACGTATCTGAGGTGAGTGACTAAACGTGCGAAGTCTCATGCACTTGGTGGTTATGTAATGTACTTAATCACCGCGAGTTTAAATCAGCAATTTGCAGCTCTTTATATTTATTTTCATACCAATGTAGTACGAGAAAAGTCNTAAAAATTCATTGGAACCTTTAAATATGATTTTTAGAATTAGGTCACCTAAGGGTATCTTCGGGCAAAATATGAGCGATCTGTCAAATAGGACGTTGACCGGCGTTTCTCGATCCTAACAGTCAGCCATTCTTAAAAGGAAACTCAAGCATCCAAATGCAACTTTCTATATTTCTCACCAGGGCATGATGTGAGTTTACAACTCTTCGCCTGAGTGGAGTCCCCAGTGCAGTTCTGTCCTCCGTTAGCAGGAGTCGGGTTATTGCAGGCTCTGCTTCTAGACCGGGAACCCGTCCCACACGTCTTACTACATGTTGTCCAAGCAGACCACAAACCGAAACCGCCATCAACTGAGTGAAACAAAGACCACAATCAGGATCAACACACTATTCATTAACTTGGATTAGGCGCAACAGGCGTTAATGTACAAGAATCTAAAACAGTTTGTTGTCAATGACTGTCATACCTGGACAAGGTGTGAAGCAAGATCTCGCCGTCTCTGTGTCGTTACCAACACAGTTTTTCCCGCCATTCATTGGGGGTGGTTGATTGCACAATCTTGTTCTCTTCAAAATGGTTCCTCCTGATATTCCACATGTTTGGGCACACTGGGTCCACGGAGTCCAAGAACTCCATTCACCGTCAACAGGTCCAGCTAAAAGACAAAATAAGCTGATATATCCTGATAGCCTCACCTTTCCTAAACCTTGCACTATCACTTATGGTTTGAATCCTTTTACTTATACAGCGGCTAGGTTCTGGAATGCTTTACCCAACAGATTAAGAACTATTTCTTGTCTCAATGACTTTATTAGAGCAATTCGACAACATGAATTAATTTTCTAGTTGTGATTTCTTCTAAGTTAATATTTTATTCAATATACATAGTGTTACTTTATTTTGATTTTAATTTTCTCGGAGGTACTAGCTTATTTTTGGCTACTCAGAATCTGAGATAAAATATAGTTTTATGTATGTATGCTGGCAACGCGGTGACACAAGAGCACAATTGCTCATTGTTAGTCGTTTTTCCTTAAATTAGTCATTAGTTAAAATGTGCAGTGATGTACTGCTGGTCGCTGGTTGATCCAGCAGTAATTAGGACACGAGAGGAATAAGGTTGTTTGCATGCTAAGAAATGAATCTTAGCATAATTTTTGATTGAAGGAAAAAAACGTCGGTCTTCCACGAGCCGACAAGTTGATTACTTCAATTTATGTCTTGATTCTAGGAATACATACAAGTTCAATAGTACCAGCTGTTCGTTTAGCGGGGTTTTCAGTCAAAACTATCGAATGAGGAAATATTTTTCAGGAGTGTCAAAATTAAAGTTGATGATAAAAGCAAGCAGTAAAATCGGTCAGCGAAATGTCGTCTCGTAAATGGACCAAAGTAAAATTAAAAAGTTCAAGACGTCCGTGATTACGTATACCGAAAAACGTATGGTTTGTGAATCATTGCACTGAAAGGTTTCTTTATGAAGGAAAGGCATCTTTCTGAACGAGTGAAATTACACCGGGCGAGTACATTTTGAGAGTCACTCGCCCGAATGGCGAGCGCTGTCAAAATTTAGTTTGTAACACTGTTAGCCGTTGTTGGCTTTAATGACGGACAAAACAAAGTTAAAGAACCAGGCCATGCTTTGCCCATTTTTTATCAACCAATGAAAAGCCATGGCGCGAAGTGGAAATTATTGCAACTTCCTGGAAAAAATTGAGATCTTTAGTCTCAGCATTGTTCGAGAAAAATCGAGTTTTTGTATTCATGTACGCATTGTGGGCTTATGCTTCGTTTGTTTGTTTTCAGTTAACAGAACAGGTGTTACATACTTTTATTGTCCAAGACACTATATCATACGGTTTGAATTAATCTTAGAACACAAACTTGCATTTATGACCAAAACTTCAGCTTTTCCAATTTATCCCGAAAACAGGCACACGACGGAAAAAACTGACGACTTTCTCTCCGTGCTCCCCCCTGCTCCCCACCCCAACCCCGACCCGTTTTCCTATCACGCGGAAAAGAAAACAGAGTATAAAATGTGCATCCTAAATCCCCTCTATTTAATCAATTGCCATTTCAGTATTGTTACGTTTCGCAGAAATACGTGGCATTATTTTATTTTTCAAATGGTCCACTTTTTTATTTTATTTTTACGATAGTCTATTTATGAAATGTTCACTTTGTTATTTCTTTACTATTTTTGTTACTATACATCTGCTTCGACTTACTTGGGCACGGCCAAATACATTCCAACTTGGTTTCAAGTGTGTCTCCGGAACATGGTTTCCCGTCCGGGCTGGGAGTAGGGTTAGTGCAAGCTCTGGTCCTGTTGACTATGGATCCCCCGCACGGGTTCTCACAGAGAGACCACTGACTCCATTCTGTGAAACCGCCGTCAACTGCGATGGCATTTCATTGAAGCAAGATTGTGGAACGAGAAAAATTAGAACTAAATTTGTGATTTTTGTAGCTCTTACTATTTTCAGTGCAAATTTAGATGCAAATGTAAACGTTTGCTAAGGGAAGTGGTTTCCTGAATTGAAATTAGTCTGTTCTAAGATCCTACAGTAAAAAAACCCGGAATCTAACGAAACATCACTTTCTCGTTATTTTTTAATCAGCGGAGCCCGCCATTTGGGAAAGATGTTGGTTGGCAACATGGCGCAAGATGGTTGCCACGCTAACGAGACAATACTCGGAGAACACGCATGACGTCGGGAAATTGTTTGATTGGGTGATAAGGATCAGAAGCTCTTCGAAAGCTTTAACTAGACCTGCCGATGAAAAATTATTTCTCGACTGAATAGCAAGTTTTATTAAACAGTGCGGCGTGACTCAGATACTTGACAATGCGGTCAGCTTACATAGTCACTGTTAAATATATATTAACAATACAATTGAACAGCAACTAATTGTACTTACTCATGCAGTCCTTTTGTTCCGAGCTGTCTCCTTCATCGCAGTACTTTCCATCTTCACTTGGTATGGGATTGGTGCAAGTTCTTGTTCGAATACGCTGGTTTCCCGCGCAAATGCCGGCTGCACAGCCACTCCACGCTGACCAGCCCGACCAACCACCGTTCACTTTCGCGAAAAAAAGGAAAACAAATCATCAAAGCGGCAAATCAGCTCCTTAAACCTTACAAAAAGCAATGGGTATTTTTAAATTGAAGGGTTTCTATAACGATTTGAAAACTTTTGAATCGTTTTTATTCAAGATCTGTAAGGTGAAACTAAGATAATTTATCAACGATTAGAGTCAGTGTTACGGTATATAAATACAAGAAATAAAACCTAAAAATGCGTGACTTAAAATACCGCCTATGAGCCAAGTTTAAAAAGCCTTTCTCTCACCAAATTGTGTGGAGGAGTATCCTGCTTAGAGAAGGCCGTCGCTTTTATAGCTGAAATTAAAGCAGCGAGATTCCAACGCGAATTATATACGAAACTGGAAAGAAACGTGAAAACTCTGAATTATGTCTACAACAATAGAATAACCGAGTCTGAAAAATGAAGTTAGACACAGAGTGTCACCGCTTTTCATAAAATTTCAAACTACCTAATGCTTTCTAAACAAAACGGACATTTTCAGCTATTTCTCGTCACATTTTTTTAGTTCGCTAGTAAATCATTTCGGCTTTACTTAAAGATAGCTCAGTCTCGGCATTTTGAGTTATTTTGACCACATACAAAAATACCTTCAAATTGAAGGAAACCTGAAAATACTAGTTTACTAAGATAGATAGTTAATAATAACCACTAAGGAACAAGGATGGTTAAAGATAAAGAAGATTAACGCGGATTAAAAACGACGAACTTGTAAAATTTAGGCTAAAGTTTTCAAGAAGCGGAAACTCCCTTAAGATTTCTATCACCTTCTTTTCATTGTGAAAATAAGATTTATTATTAAAAGTCACTCTCACCTGCGGCATCCACATAATTCCAAAATATGACTAGTGACAGAAACCGAAATAAGCAAGTAATAACGTTTGACATATTGATAGATAATATGTAGAGCTCTATTCTAAACTATACAGAGCTAAAGCATCGCTCTGGTGGTGGACCAGATTGACAATCGTCTTTTCAGTCTCCCTGGAAGCCGAGTGATTTGTTAAAACTGCTTTAGGTTTAGGTCGTTTCACAAAACCTGTAAATGCTTACTTTATGAACACCTGAATTGATTCATTATAATTATTGACGCAGATGGGTCAACAAATATTGCTGTAGCTTAAACTAGTTGGGTAATAGTCTATTTACTCCTACTAATTAGAATTATTACAGAAGAGCAAAATCTGTTCATTCGGAGATTTCGCCATCGATAATACGTTAGGGGTGTAAGCCTCTTAATTAAGAAAATTCCACCGTCCAATAATTTAATTGTTGTTTTGAACCATGCCTCAACGAAGAGAAATAAAAAAGTTAAGCATTATAATTAATATTCTCTGACTGACACTACGTTAGAATCTATTCATCTATTTTAAATCGCAGGCTTTTACAGATAAACGCCTGGAGAGACCATTTACACGTCACCTACCGATCGCCATACGGTGCATAGATAAAGTTGTAGTCGTTTAGGGCGTATCTTACTTGCTTTACAGAATTAATTGAAATCGGTTTTAATACTAATAACTTTATATTCCAGTGTCAGGTAAAGTAGCAGGGTCTCACGAAGGTAACAATCACGTAAAATTATAAATCTTAAATATAATTTATTTAGTATAATTTTCCATATTTGCAACTAAAATTCGCTTAGAACTGTAATAGAAATAAAAATCAGCCTCCAATACACCATTTGTGCATGAAAATCACAGGTGCAGAAAGAGTAAATACTCTAGATTAATTTCAGTTCTATATTTACTTTTCCTGCCCAGTGAATGTCTTTGTTATAAATTTTCCTCGGATGTCGAAAAACGTTTCGTCGCTGCAAACTTCCGAGACACTGTATTTTTTGTCCCGGAATTTGGACAACAACCGTCATCAACTCATAGTAGGTTAAGCTTCGTGTTTTTTTATGTCTACTTTTAATTCCGCTTTACAAAGGTATGGACACTTCATTGTTTGTGGCTGGTGTATAAGCTTGACATCAAGGAATGGGCAATAAACCCACATGTGTAATTAGCTAGGTAAACCAAGAGTGGAACTATCCAGGTGATCAAATAAAGTTGTAAATTAATCATCCGTTGTATCGCTATCTTTGTGTGATTCTCAGAGGAGTGCAAAATCTTAATGTTGACCAATCAGAATGGCCGCGGATATTGCTCGACAGGGAGTACTGAAAACCGGTTTTAGTAAACTGCAGAAAAAGGGTTTTCAGAAAAAGAAGTTTGTCTCCTTTCACCACACCAGTTTAAATTATTTTCAAATTTTATCAAGAAAAGAAAACCTTAGGTAAATAGTTCAAACATTTGTTGCCTCTACTTCCTCTCTTCTGAAGACAATTGATTGCACGGAGTTGGAGCGAAAACGTATCTGAGGTGAGTGACTAAACGTGCGAAGTCTCATGCACTTGGTGGTTATGTAATGTACTTAATCACCGCGAGTTTAAATCAGCAATTTGCAGCTCTTTATATTTATTTTCATACCAATGTAGTACGAGAAAAGTCGTGACGAGAAATCCATTTAAAAAAAGGTAAGAACGTCTTTCACAATTTTGTGCTGCTTCAAAATATCGTGATTCATTCATTATCACACCCCTTGTGACTCTAATTTCATTTCTACTTTTGAAGTTCTCAAGCAAGAGAGAGAAAAAAAAGAAGATTTTCATGTCCAAAGACTCTTACGGAGTTTGTATTGAGAATACTGGCCAAAATTGTCATCTTACTCAGCATGTCATGATTCCAGTAAAATGAACTTTAGCACAATAAAATAAGTCGCCAACACTTGAAATTATACATGCTATTCAGAATCGTAAAAAAAAAAAAACCCTTCGGGCGACTTCTGAAAATGGTGTTTAACGGTTTGTTTGACTTTGAACCGCTAAAAGTCCGTGGGCGTCGTGTCTCCTCTCGTTGTACAAAGCTTCGCGTCTGACTGGCGAGTGTGGATTAGAATGGCCCAAAACGCCTTGATCAAGAACTGAATATCTACCATTAATTATACAATCAATCGTCGAGATGATAAATAATGAGAACCATTACAGAACAAGCCAGGTAATTCTGGTAGGAATGAGATATAAGCCCAGATTCACTTTTTCTTGCAAATATTCCTCAGTTTTGAAATTACCACTGCATGTTGAGCCCTGCGATCGGCCAGTTCAAGACGAAAGTGTGCGAACTCAAACTCCTGAAGCAAGCTGCGCCCATTAATTAACTAGGAAATAAAGATAACGGGCGCTCTCCATTGAATCAAAAATTACGGTTATTTCCTTTGACGGTTTCCAGAAAATCCAGTAATGATTTATCCGAGAAACGAACCATTCGACCGAAAATTACGGAAATTTAGGGAGGAAAGTTAAATGGAACAGAAATTCCTGGTAAGAAAATTTCCAAAAATGTCGGTGGTTGTCATCTTTTCCGGAAATTCTGAAGCACGCTTTATTCGTCACTGGAAATTGCCTGAAATTCAAACTGGAATTTTAGCATCGAAAGGAAAGTACCCAACATTACCTTCGTCTGCGTGAATTCTACATTAGACTAAAATGACTAAATTCTGAGTAGTTTGTTTAACTTAAATCACTCAATGACTAAATTCTGTGTACCTTGTTCAACGTGAATAAGGGTCATATAGGGGTATTCTCGTGTTGCGTGATTAGCTGATATTTTTTTCCGTGAAACGTGAATTTAGGAAATTATTCTTCGTGAGTCGTGACCCGAAGGTTTTGCGTGACCCGTGAAGAACCTGAATTATTAACCGATATTCGTGATTTTACCACTCTATTCTACGTGATTTTCAGACGGAAGTCCTCCGAATGGTTAGAGTCGTCTATCGAGAGTGACTTAGGTATGCGATTTGCAATATAGAGCCTTGACTTAGCCTTTCGCCATTTTGCTTTCTTCAAACACTGCTTCTAGTGTAAGAACAAGTCATTAAAAAGAATATCTTACTTGCTTATTTTCGTGATTCGGGAAAACGAAATTTTATATCCGTGATCCGTTATCCTCTATTTTTTCCGTTCGTGAACCGTGCCAGAGACCCCCCCTGTACGACCCTCGTGAATCACAAGCAGCTAATTTTTTGATACTCTAATTTGGAGTTCAAAACGCTTTACCTGTAGCTATTTCTCCAACCCATGGATGCACTGAACAAATCTACATGATCTCGAGATTCTTAAATTTAAGCTACAAACTAAATAGTTTGTTAAAACTTTAAAGCTAAGCCTATAAATTGCTAAGTGTTTTTTTTTTGTTGTTTTTTGAATCGTAAATTCATGAAAAGTGATTTCCTTCTCGCATCCTGTTAGATAATTCTATTTTACATCGAATTGTACTTAACGACTTTCAGATATCGATTCCTATCGACTGCTGTCATCAAGGTGAAACAGATTTTCTTTGTACGTCCAAAAAAACTAAATTTTACGGCAAGCTGCTGATATTGTATAAACCCCGCAACGTGATGTATGTGTCCAAGACTGACGATACGCAGAAAATTTAAAAAAAGTGTTTCTTGTTTGAAGTAAGATTTTTTCTGTTTTTCTACCGATTGCGACATTCTTTTTTGTGTTTGTGTACTCTGATGAATTACTGTCCTAAACCAAAGCGTTTGTTTTTCACCGTCCAGCAAAACCTCGACAGGCACGCAAGTTAGGCCCCATACAACGCCGGAGAAATTTGAAACGCTGCTTTACTTCTACGGTTAGGCCTAGCGTCCACACTAAACCGTCACGAAAACGAAGCTTTTCGAAAACGCTCTCCAAACCGGAGAAATTTGAAAACGCTGGTTTAACGTTTTAGGGTGGACGGAAAACATCTTAAAAACTGAGCTTTTCGAAAGCTACGGCATCAAGATAATCATGTGATAACCCTTATACTCAAGGGTGCACACAGGCGTTTCTGCCGCCTGTGATTGTTGCGTTTTCAAGTTTATCCGGCGTAGTGTGGACGGAAAACATTTGTTGCGTTTTCAGGGTGAACACGCCGTTTTCAAATTTCTCCAGCGAAGTGTGGACGAGGCCTCAAGCGAGGTGAGCGCGAGGTGAGCGCGAAAAAATGTGTTTGAAAATAGTCCTCGCACAATCTGTCTATGTCAAGGAATCGTTTAACAAGCAATTTCTCTCAGATAACCCTCGCATCCATGTTCAAAAAACCAGAGTTGAGTTGACGCGTCAACTCACTGGACTGGTCTAAACGTGTGGTAACAAAAACCGTCCTCATTCTTCAAGCACAACAGGTCTTCACTTGCTTTCATACGATTTCAAATTTTTGAATTGGTACACTTGTTGCCTGAATGTTTACTTCACTAATTTGTTTACGAGGGCATTTGGCATTTTCTACCAAATGGTCGGTTCAAGTAATCGGATATTGCGTTGGCTGTTTATAAGAAATGATACAGAATAAGGTAGTAGGCAAGGGTTTTAATGATTTACTATTTTTATCACCACTTCAATTACAAGGCAATATTAATTATGTTTCACTGTTCGACAAACACTTCTTTTAATCTCTCAATCCAGTACGCGGATATGGCAAACTGTAGGATATCTATAAATAATCGCAACAAACCACAGTTAACGTAAAGAATGTAAGAATCCCATTGCATTTAATTGCTCTACAGTCGAACTTCCCGTAAGCGACCACCCAAAATGTCAAACCTAGGTGGTCGCTTACGAGAGGTGGTCGCCTACGAGAGCTTAGACCATATTGGGTCAAAATTTTACAGTCGAACCTCCCGTAAGCGCTTACGGGAGGTGGTCGCTTACCAGAGCTTAGACCATATTAGGTTCAAATTTAACCTCATTAGCACATGGTAACTGCAGAGACTTACCCTATGTTTTAAATGTTTCATTCATACTAAAAGTGGTCGCGGTCGCTTACGAGAGGTGGTCGCTTACAAGAGGTTCCAAATATAGCGATTTGACTTGGAAACTTTTGGTATTTTGGAAAACTGGTCGCTGAGGAGAGGTGGTCGCTGAAGAGAGGTGGTTA